TAATTATGTTCATATAAAACCTACACATGGAACAAGAAGCTGTTGTCTGAATGGAGCAAGGGAACACGGCATGGTTCAAATGCAGGAAATGTGAGAGCAGGCTTGTATCCTTTAACTATCCAGTCTGTACACTGAACAAATTATCTGACAAGTGGGACTCTATGAAGAAGAATGTGGCATCAGGATAGGAGGAAGACTCAAAAATCAATCTGTTATGCAAACAACACACCTAAAAAGTGAGGAAGACTTGGAACCCTGGCTGTGGAAGATTCAGGACTACAGCTTTCAACCTGGATTGTATCCCAACATCAAGAAGACAAAAATCCTCACCACTGGACCTATAGGAAACATCACAACAGATGGAGAACGACTGAAATTGTCAATGATCTCATCTTACTTGGGGATCAGGAGACCTACTGCACTGGGAAAGTCCACTTTCCGGGAGCTCTCCCAGTTACTTAGGAGCAACGATGCTAGCATGAAGATTAAGGTGCACCTGGTTCGGCTCATGGTCTGTTCAATCACGTGCTCTGTGTCGGAGAGCTGGACGGTGAGGACGGCGGGAGACTTGCTCTTGGAGCTGTGGTGCTGGAGACGAGTACCGAGATCCCATGGCTGGCTCAGGGGAAAGTGTGGCCAGAGCGCTCCTTGGAGGCAAGGCCAGCAGGGCTTGGTCTCGCATACTTTGGGCTTGTTGCTAGAAGTGACTCTCCGGAGAGGGACATCATTCCTGAAACGGTCGAGAGGTCACCAACGGAGAGGGAGACCCTCAACGCGATGCACTGAAACAGTGAGTGAAGCCCACAGGCTCACGGGTCAGGGGTGCCGAAGACCCACAGGACAGGATTCAGGTCTGCTGTTCACAGGGCGGATACGAGTCATGCTCAACTTGATGTACCAACAAGTCCACCGGGAGCTGGGACACTAACCCCAAAGCCGCACCGCTCTGGAGGTCTGAACCCACCAGCGACTCCTCAGCAGGACAGATGGACAGTCTCCTTCCACGTGGCTTACAGCCTCCAAACCCTGCCAGTCAGTCAACTATGAGTCAGTTCTGCCTTGAGGGCGATGAGAGCAAGACCAGAAAAAGGGGGAGGGGGTCGCACACAACGGGCTGGATGTGGGTCTTTTTTAAGCTCGTGTCTAACATTTCAACTCAAACTCCAAGTCAGGTGCTACGGTGGCCAGTGTCACACACACCAAAGCCTGTCCTCCAGTGGCTCCCAACTCAGCGACCCCTCAGGACCGGTGCGGCCCAGGGTGGCTGCCTGTCCTTCTGCAGAGCCGCTGAGGACTTGAGGCAAGTGCTGTATCTCTGGGGCCACCAGGGTCTGTGCTCCTGGCACCGAGTGCGGGTGAGGCCCTGCCTCCCTCCTTGCCGCGTTTCCCGAAGGGGACCTGGAGAAGGGGCCAGTGGTTTGTGCGCAGTCGCCTTCAGATGTGCCCGCAACAAGGCGCACAAGAACTAGCTCTGGAGGGGGGATGTGTCCCGCCAACACCAGCCAGCCCAGTGCCGGGGACCCCTCGAGTGGGGTGGCCCCATGGGGTTCCCACGGCTGTGAGTCTTTCCAGGAGCAGACTCTCTCTTCCTCCAGCAGAGCGACTGGCGTTCAAACGTCTGGTCTTTCCGCTAGCAGCCCAATGCTTAATCCGCAGTTCCACCAGGGCCTCTGTTCACACCACTGCAGCTTGAGAAGGCCTCAGGCCTCGGGCACCTGCAGCCCACCGAGTCCCAGGAACGACTGAGGAGTGAGATAGTGCAAGCGTGTGTCCACCATCCACAGCGAACCACTGCTCCAAAGCCTGGGAGTGGATCCAGTCACCAGCATCTCAACGCCGGGAATGGAGGGGCCAATGCAAAGGTGCGCTGTTCGAATCCACCAGCCGCTCTGTGGGAGAAGGATGGGAAGTCTCCTCCAGTAGGATTTACAGGATCTGAAAACCCGCTGCACGGTGAGCTACGGTGAGCTACGGTGTGTGTGTGTGTGTGTGTGTTGCGACAAGATGGTTCTCGTCAGTTCCACTCGGGACTGAAGGTGAGAGGTGGGGCACAGGCACCCCCATCCAGCCTCCTGGCTCCGTGGCAGCACCTTGCTCACCTCCCACTAGACTCCAAGAGTGACAGGCTACAGCCTGTTCTGGAGGCCAGGCCTCCCCGAGGTGCAGAAGGCCGCACAGCGCTCGTACTGCTCACACACCAGCTGGCCAGTGCTGACCGGTCCCCAAAGCCCTCCTGTGGGATGGCAGGTCCCGAGAGGCACTCGCTGCTTCTGCCTGACTTCTGTGACGTTTGTCACTGCTCACCGGGGGGTGGGGGGGACGGGGACGGGACGGGACACCGTGGAGAGGCACCTCCGGGACAGGGCCTGGCAGAAGCACCAGGCCAGTGTCAGGGCCCAGGATCTCGGGGTATGCCCGAGCCAACGGCAGCTCCCACAGTCACAACCTGGCACCGGGAGCAAACACCTGGCAAGCCACGGCTGTGTAGCTGAAGAGCCCTGGTGGCGCGCTGCCTTACACTACAGGTCGGTGGTTCACACCTACTACCTGTTCTAAGGACCAGTGAGCCCCTGTAAGTATCTGTTGTGGTTGGGCTCTATCAGGGGAGAACTGACCCGCAGCCGACCTCCCAGGGAGTTTTCTGAGGCAGACAATCGTGGGGGGCTGGGGGGACTGTCCATCTTCCTCCTGCAGAGAGCTGGTGAATTCAAAGCACACTTGGGGCTGGGAGTGCACCCCTCACCACAAGGCCCCTGGCGCTCCCTGTAAATGCTTCCAGCCCCGTCCCGAGTCAGCAGGGGGCTCTGTTCCAGGCTGAGTGGCACTGTGGGGAAGGTCTTTGGCTGTTACCCCAAAAGCTCACTGGTTTGACAGACCAACTGCTCCACCAGGCAAAGCCGAGGTCTGCTTCCACGGGCATGAGGACGCAGACCTGGGATCGTCCCACACAGCCGCCCAGAGCTGGGACCAGCTCAGCGGCACCAAGGTTGGCTTCCTCTGTTTGTGAAAACACTGTCATTTCGTGGATGGACGTATGGAAGTATTCTGGGTTGAGTCCTTCCACCCCTAGAGTTAGAGAACATTCTAGAAAGAAAGTCTCACGTAAAACACGGTAAACTCGTCCCATAAAGAGCCCTGGTGGCTCAACAGCTAAGTGCTTGCCAGTCAACTAAATGATTTGAGGTGTCAGCCCACACAGGGGCTCTGCAGGGAGTTGTGGGTCTCCCCAGCAAACATTTCCAGCCTGGTGGGCAGCTCACCTGGACAGGCGGAATCCACCCACAAACCCCCACGACAGCAGGCTACACCCTGTGCAAACAACTGAGGGTTCAACTACCAACAGAAGGTTCGCAGTTCACAAGGAAAGGCCTGGAAATTTAGTCCTGTCCTGACCACACCCAAGACACCCCTCTGGGCTGTTCTCTGTGGGAGCTGAGTCCCCGAACTAACAAGGTGGATGGACCCCGGGCACATCACACTGCTAAATGAAGTCAATGCCACCTGGTCGAGGTGAGACACCTGAACACAGGGAGTGACTGAGGACAGGGGCACCAGCTCCAAGTGGAGAGGGGGTGTCTGAGGCCCAGCTTGGCCACCACCGGGCCCGGCAGCCCCGCCCTCCTCTCCCAGAACCTTTCACACTTTGGCAAACGGAGGCAAGTTTTCTCTCAACCCCCAGCAGGTGAGTCACCGATGCTGAGCTCCAGGTTCCTCCACACGAGACTCCAGCCCAACGTGCCAACGGCCCAGGCAGGTGAGACCGGGGAGACGCACTCCGGGCCTGAGAACCACCAGGCCAGAACTACCCAGCACTCAGGGTGCTCATAAAAAAAAGAGATTAATTACAGGCACAGGGTAACACTGAAGATGAAACACGCTGGAGAAACAGAAACACCACAGAGGAGGAGCTACTAGCAATTACTGAACAGCGAAATAGAAAGTATCTTTGGAGGAGAGGAAATGAGTAATTACACAGGCTTTCCTCTGATCAAGAGATCTGGAGGGCACACATGTCCAGGGGCCGCCCAGCGTGAATCCACAGCCAGGAGTGTGGAGCTGAGGACATCACAAGAAGTGCTAGGCGCCCAGGCAGCAGCGCCTGCTAGGCCCGAGCCTGGCCCTGGCCGCTCCTTCTCTTCCTGCCCAAGGGGAAACGGTGACTGAGCCCCCGGGGGGCCTCCTGTCCTCCATCACCCTGGTGGAAGGCAAGGTTGTGGGGGTGCCATTCCTGACCTGGGCATTTCCATGGCGTTGCTCAAGAGTCAGTCCTCTTCCCCGCCCTCTGTCCATTCACACCTGGCCCCTAGCCTTGGAGGAGAGGCTGGGCCTTTGGGGGACCTCTGCACCTCCCAGACACACACCCCTTCAGCCACCTGATGCAATGCCTTCTCCATCAAGCACAGGCCATAGAAAGGGCTACAGGTCCTAACCCAGCCCTGGCGGAGGTGACCCCCGGGCATCTGGGCAGGCACAGCCCTCGGAGTGAGGTCAGGAGCAGGGTGACACTGCCCACTGCCCAGCCTGCATCAGGCTGGACCACAGGGATCCAGGCCGGCAGGGGCGGGGCTTGGTGACCCCTGGGAAACCGGGCGTGGCAGGGGGAGATTCCCAAGACCCAGACTGGGCCAGGCTGAGTTGGAACCCCTGGCGTCCACGGGAGACACTATGAGGGGAGAGGAGTGACCCCTGAGGCCCACGGGGAGGCAGCTATGAACCCTGAGATCAAGGTCGGACCAGCGTGAGCCTGGGATCCAGACCCACGGGCGTTCACCCTCGTGGTCCACATGACCCTGGAAACCGGGGCCCGACGGGCTGACCCGAGGGGCTGACCCCGGTGATCCAGGCACGGGCCTCGCTGACCACCGAGGATCCGGATCGGGCGGAGCTGGCCCCCTCGGGCCGGAGGCGGGGCGGGGCGACACCGGAAGTCCGTGTGAACCGGGGGTCCCGTCCGAGCCCCGGCGGCCGGGCCCCCGCGCGCTGACAGCTCGGGCACTCACCGCGGGGGCAGCTGCAGGGCGGGCGCGCCGCGCCGCTGGAAGGCCCCGTCCACGAACACGCCGTTCTTGCCGAGGCAGCGCAGGAAGAAGTGCGGCTCCTGGAAGCTGATCTGCAGGTGGCGCCGCGAGATGAAGCTCGACAGGCCCATGCTCAGGTCCACCGAGCCCTGCGACGAGTTGCGGCCGATGGTGACGGTGGGCTGGCGCATGAGGAACTCGAACTCGCGGCCCTCCAGGCGCGCTAGCGCCGGCCCCGGGCTCCGCCGCACCGACGCCGC